ATGGCCCCGGCAGTGAAAAATTATTAATTACTCAATTTCCGTAAACAATTTGTGAACTTTTATAATTTCCTTGCAAAGCTGAAACCTCAGGCTACATTCTTATTTAACTTTCGTAAAGAATTTAACTCTAAATTGTTAGTTATTAATTTTTGTTTGATGGCGTCTATAATTTCGTAACGACGACCATTACGATCTTCCGTGAAAATATTTAATACTAAACGAAACTAGAAGCAAAATGTGATCAAATGTTATATGAGAAGATTCGCAAGGACATTGTCTTTCTAACGAGTGCATAAAGTTTCATAAATTAATTGCGTAAAGGACAGTATTAATGAAAAACCAATGGCGTCTACGACAACAATTCAAACACTACGCAGAATAATAATTAATATTAAATTAATTAGGGACAAATTTATATCGAAAAATATATTGGAAAGTTCTTGAAAGATCTGCCTTCACGATGCAATTATAAAAGTTCATAAATTAATCGCAGGAATTGAGTAATTAATTAATTTCCTAATAAAAATTCAAAAAGGAACAGTCAGCGCCACCTACAGTTGTGTACTGGAACTAACGGAACAGTTCCAGATAAAAATCAAAATTAATTAATTAATTACTCAATTCCTGCGATTAATTTATGAACTTTTATAGCTGCATCGTAAAGACAGATCCTTCAAGAACTTTCCAATATACTTTTCGATATAGACTTGTCCCTAATTAATTTAATATTAATTATTACTCTGCGCAGTGTTTGAATTGTTGTCGTAGACGCCATTGGTTTTTCATTAATACTGTCCTTTACGCAATTAATTTATGAAACTTTATGCACTCGTTAGAAAGACAATGTCCTTGCGAATCTTCTCATATAACATTTGATCACATTTTGCTTCTAGTTTCGTTTAGTATTAAATATTTTCACGGAAGATCGTAATGGTCGTCGTTACGAAATTATAGACGCCATCAAACAAAAATTAATAACTAACAATTTAGAGTTAAATTCTTTACGAAAGTTAAATAAGAATGTAGCCTGAGGTTTCAGCTTTGCAAGGAAATTATAAAAGTTCACAAATTGTTTACGGAAATTGAGTAATTAATAATTTTTCACTGCCGGGGCCATTCTATCCCCTCCCTGTCCTTTTCTACCACGTGACCAGCACATCGACGACCTCCTTGCCTATTCTATATTCCTATCACTTTCTTGCAGTCGACGACCTCCTTGCCTATTCTATATTCCTATCACTTTCTTGCTTTTTGAACCCAAATCATAGATGGCGCTGATCGCAGGCGGTAAAATTTGTATTTATTCGGCAGTAGAAAATTAATAAATTTCCAAATTACTGCAATTAATTCATGAACATTTGTAGCTGCACAGCAAAGTTGGAATTATAGGCAACGTGCTTATACAATGTTTAATTTGATAATTAAAACTTACATGAGCGTTAGGTTTTGTATTTCCTTTATCTAATGATTATTTATATTTTCGTTTTCTTACTTTACTCTCTTAATAGTTCGTTGAACATGAAGTCACAGATGAAGATGCGTGCTTTTGTTCGTGGTAAAAAGAAAATGAAACTGCCATGGTTATATATTAAAGTACTTTTTATTCACTTTGAAAGTTTTACATATACACGTTAATTGTTAACGACATAAAAAATAATGACATATAGACATTAGAATCTGAGTAGATGTCCGTACCACGGACCGTTGCGAGAAAAAAATTGCTATAGAAAAGTGTTTTTCTCGCATAATATTCTTATTATTTTGTAATAAATATATACCAGCATAAGAAAACGTAAAAAATAAATTTTTTTATTAAATTTTATTTACAATTGTTTATTTACAATGTTTTCATTGGCGAAAAATGAATACAAAATAAAAAATAAGTTGAAAAAAACTAGCAGCTATAAACAGGACTCGAACCTCAGTCCTCCATCGTATGAATACTCAACTGTCGCTCCTAAGCCGTTTAAAAACTATTGGAAGAAAATCAATAATTAAAGAAGTATTAGAACTTAAATCATAAATATCTCAACAATTATTGAATAATTGCGACTATAATGATATATTTTCTTAAACTGCATGACGAAATCTACAAACCTGCAATGTTTCAACTAAATTGGTGACCCGAAGGTCTTGCACTCTCCTTGTTAGTAAAGCTATAAACGGTTTGACCCGAGTGTGTTATACGTGAACACGCTGCATGCATACCTTGTAAAATACCACGCGGACGACGCTTCCAGTAAGAAAAAGGTAGAAAAATGGCGGATCACGTCCCATGAGCACAAGCCTTACGAACTATTTTTCCCCTTTTGCATTTACAACCTTGCAAAACTTTTTATCCGCCTCTTCATCGCGGACTAATTAATGTACTATAAAACGCTAACGCCTTGACGTCCGCCGATTTATCTGCCTTCCTTCGAGCTATACGATTACACACGAGCCTTCAGGTTTTGGACTGCTATTGCTCGATCGAGAAGCATCGTCACCGAGTTGTTAACTGCTAGTGGTAACAAGAAGTTAACGAGATACGAGTCTAAAAGCAACGATATCAAATACGTTGGTTACTTGATTTTTGGAGTTGATAATATTCAATTAATGATGAATTAAAAATCGTGATTTCCTTTAATGTTAATAGCATTTTGATAGTCAATAATTGGAATTTTGGAAAGAGAGTAAATTTATTTGGTTATAAGCATCAATAAATAATAAATATCTTTAAAAGTAATTTGAAAGGAATGTACCAAGTTATACCATATTAGTATATACCATAGCATGTACTTACTATATTTGCATTTTTCCCTACTGTTCATTTAAAATGAATGTTATTCTATACTCGTAATAATCTTTTCGTTATTATTATAGAAAAATACACACTTACTATGATTATAATTGTTTGTAAACTTGCTATAAATATAAACAAAGACAATTTTTCGCTAAGAACTATTTAATCTTTTTCTTTTTTTTATGTATCGTACCATTAAAATAAAAAATATGAATTGTTAAATATTAGAAACACTATGTATTATATTTATAGAAAATATTGATATTTAATAATTGCATATTGCTGAAGTTTTATTCAACCATAGCTGTTAATTATACATGATAGTCATATGTGGTTGCTAAGCAACCATTTAATGCTACACAAAGTTCACCAAGATTGTAAGAAACATGCATTGTAGTTGGTGATATGTTTCACTTGTAATTAATTTTATTTGTAAATAATGACAGACGATATAAAACCGGAAACTATTAAGAAGACTCAAGATTTACTTGGAAAATACTTCAAAAAGCCACCGCTCACCGAAAAATTACTAAGGAAACCACCGTTTCGATTTCTTCACGATATTGTGTCAGCAGTAACGTATCTTTTGCTCACATATCTGGTTGTAAATAAAACATGAATATAATCAATGCTTTTATTCCTAATAAATGAATGGTATCATAGGTCATAAATGAAACTGGTTTTCTAGACGGTTTGTATACAGAGGAAGAACTAAACTCAGAAAATATAAAAAATAAAGAGTCAAAACTTTCTTATTTATCAAAATTGATCGACGTCGTCAGTAAGTTATAATTTTCCTTGTATTATAAAAAGTATAATGTTTTTTATATTCAAATATATTGTATAATAATTTTAGAACTGGCTACTGGCATTAATTTAACTGTAAGAGCCAGTAAGATAATCTCAGGTCAGGAACCAACTAAAACAAATGAGTTATTACAAGCAATTGGAAAAGCTCTAGATAAGAAGGTAATATTAGCAAAATATTTACAAGTGTAAGGTAGAAAATAACACCCATAAAGTAAAGATGTTTTTTGAATTAAATAGATAAGTAGTATAGAAGTCATTCAACAATATAAGAAAAATTTAGAAAAAAACAAATCTAGTTTGAGAAGTAAGTCATCTATAACAAAAGATGAAAGGAGAGTATCATCAAAAGACAGATTTCAAAGAAAAATTTCAACAGCGAAGGAAAAATCTACAGAACAAAAGAAGAAAGTTCTTAATGAAAGTAATGCAACAATACATAAAGAAACACGCAAAGAAGAAAGCCAAGAATCTAAAAAAAATGTTGAAGTTACAGAAAATCTACAAATTGAGGTAAATTAATACACCTTTCATCTAAATTATACAGGTGGTAGAATATAAATGAATTTATATCTTCTAGCCAACCCAAGAGAAAGTTCCTTCATCTGCACATAGAAGAAGGTCTTCATCTGCTAAATCTAAACAGAACACATCCTCTACACCTTTCCCTGAAACAAGTCCTTTGCAATTGGATAGAAAAACAGATGAATGTAAAAAGCAAAAAGAATTGGAGAACAATTTAAAGCATATGACACATACTGAAAGTAATGAATCACAAGATCTAATGCTCATTGCATTTAACTCTATAAATTCAGAATCAAATATAAAAGATAATAAAATAGATGAAAACACAAACAAACTTGAGTACAAGGAAACTGGCATGATAAATAATGAAGTTCCTTTACAAAACATAGAAAAATCTGATCAATCGATAGCAGAAACTCAAAAGTTTCAATTAGAAAATAATGACACTAGGTATCACATACATAATATTTTATTTTTAAGTTATTATTACTATATTGATGATTGTAATATGCAATATTAACTTGATAAAATTCTTTTAGTATTTCACAATCAAATTCTAGACCAAGAACTTCTTTACGTCCACCAACTTCAAGACCAATTAGTGCTAGACCTGCAGCACCTAGAATACGAGGAAAAGTAGAATTAATAGTTAATGAAGAAATACTGTTAGATTAATTTTTAAATTGTTTGAATGTAAAATATTTTATAGACAATATAAATTAATATCAATTTGTTTTCTAGAACACCTATGGGAAATATTAGCGTTATTGTAGAAAATTCTGATCTTAAAGATGACGATGATGCTGAAGATATGGTAGTTATGGAAACTAGAGGAGGTGGTAGTGATTCTTTAGAAAATAGTGGAAACTATAAAGTTGATGATCAACTAACACAAGAACATGGACATCTTGTTGCTCAAATATTAGAAACACAAAAGGAGTTAGTTAATAACGATAATGTAGATGTAATACCTAAGAAAACAAATATTGTAAGTACAATTCTATTATAACTTATTATTTTTATATTATTATAACGACACAAAATTCTTTAGTAAATTAAATATGAATTTATTATTAGGCATGGGATACAAGTTCAAAGCGTGACATAGTAGCAAAGGAAATTGATAAATTACGAAACACGATACAAACTTTAACTCGTGCAACAAATCCGCTTGGAAAATTGCTAGATTATTTTCAGGTAATTTCATCTGTTATCTTTTATGATACTACATCTATAACATAAATATTATTTACAGGAAGATGTAGAAATTATGCAAAAAGAACTAATAGAATGGAAAAATCAGTATCAACAAGTAAACGAAGAATTAAAAATAGAAAAAATGTAAGAATATGTAAATTTATTTAAATCGTTTAAGATTGTAAATCAAATGCATATTATTCTTCCAGAAAAACACAAGAATTAATAGAACCTATGAAAGATACATTAAAAGAAATTGATCACAATGTGAAATTGCAATTAGATAAAATATGTCAAGCGAAATCACAAATTATGAAAAATGACCAAAGGATACAAACTTTATTAAATGGTCGTACTTAAATTTTATTTTACTGCAATTTGTAAAATTACAATATTCTTTTATAATTGTTAATATAATTAATATAAATGTATTTCTTCTTTTAAGTTTGTAATTAGAAATTGTATATATGTGAAATGATAAAATATATAATTTGAAATGTTATGTAATATAATTTATTGTGAAATGATTTTAACCATTTTTATATATTTATTTATACTTATTCAAATAGGAACATTTGTACAGAATATATGTAACTTAATGTCATTAAATCACTTTGAAGTACTTTTACCAATTTCTTTTTAAATTTCATATTTATCTCGTAAAACTAAAATTTTATCTTGAGGCACGTTTTCAACTGTTTTGCAATATTCAAAAAGTACTCTTAAACCTGTAAATTAATAAGAGATCAATTACAAAAAAATATTATTAATAATATAAAAATACCGCTACAATACATAATAATACTTACTTTCTTTATCACTGCTGTTAATAAACATAATAAGTGCTCTAAATCTCTTGACTTGACTAAGATCCTTCAAATAATAGTATATTGGATCTTTCCTTTTTATGAACTCTATTCTCAAAACTTCTATTATTTGACTAAAGATATCGGATTCCATTGAATCTTGGAATATTTTAGGTAAAGTGTCCTCTGGTAATTGCTATAATTTGATTCATTAAATCATTAGTATGCAATCATGAAAAATTTCAACAACTAAAAAATTCTTATTTTTAAATATCATTCTCACCTTTAGATATTTATATCTAAATTCTGATGAATTATTTGTTTTCCAATTTGTTACAAATTGAACAGCTGTCTTAGGAATTGGAGATATAATATTAATAACTTTTGAAGATTCAGGAACAGAAATAGAACTATCATTTTTCATAACATTGCTATCTTTATGAGTTTCTTCTGTTTGTATAGGCTCATTATTACTACATATTGTTTCTGTTTTATCATCAACATAGTCACAATAATTGATATCAAAGTCTACTTCTTGAATAGGTATTTTTGTCAATGATTGCTATAAATTGCAAATATCTTAGACTTCCAGTAATTTGATGTAATTTGTATATAATTTTACCTTTGAGCGTAAATGAGGAGGTTTTTCAATTGGTTCAATTACAATAACATCATCTTTCTCTGGTAACCAATCTGGAATACGTGGATCTCTTTTCTTCTCTACAGCAGTATCAGTCACATTATTTTCTTTAACTTCTGTACTATTTTTAATATTTGTAATATTTCTGATATCTATATTTTCTTCTGTATGTGTAATGTCTTTAATATTGTTAGTGTCCATTTCTTGTACATTCGATGTAGTACTGTTCCATATTTTTTCACCAATTTTTTGTTCAATTGATAATTTTTTAAATGATTGTTTTGCATGTTCCTTCACTATATTGCTTGTCTATATAAAATACCATCATTAAATAATATTCAGTTTTGCGTTTTATCATAATAATAATTAAGTTTTGTGTTTTGTTCAACAATTACCTTTGGACATATAATCTTGCTTTCAATTTTATTAAGTAATAACTTGGCTCCCTTATTAGAGGGTTCTAATTCTAAAACTTTTTCTATGTCTTGTTTAGCTTCTTTATATTGTTTTAAATTCATTCTGGCTGTTGCTCTTCTATAATAAGCTTTTACATAAACATCATCTAATTGTATTGCAGCAGTACAATCGGATTCAGCAGAATATAAACTGCAAAAATATAGTATTTTAATACAATCTCATAGTATTTAATTTAATATGTAGATATAATTGAGATGTATATATACTTGTCTAATTTCAACTGACAGAGCGCACGATTGGCATAAAATACTGCATCAAATGGAAATAGTTTTATAGCTTCATTATAGCAGCCAACTGCTTTAACCCATTTCTGTTGCTGCACAAAAATATTGCCTTCATTTCTATGTTTCGTCGCTTCTTTGTGTGCTTTTTCTAATTCTTCTTTAGACATAGATTCACCTTCAGAATCTGACTGTTCTTTTGTATCTATTTCTTTACATGCTTCATCCTTTAAAGAAACATTATAAATAATATTAGAGTTTCTAAATTTGATAAAATTTTTCAAAAACATAAATAATTCAATTTTTACAATGTAATAAACTTACTGCATCAAATTTATCCCAGGTGGAATAATCATATGCTTTAATTCTTTTTGGTTTATTATCAATTTCATTTTTTTTTGTGGAATCATTTTTTATTCTATTTTTATGCTTATTTCTTATTGGTGGTAAAGTCACCTACAAAACAATATCCTTGTAAAGTTCAATACTTTTGTAAGTAATTCAAATACAATTTATACCTGATCACTTCCTTCTTTCCTTATTTCTTCATCTTTATGTTTCATTTGCTCTTCCCAATTTTTCATATCAAGAAATTCTTTTTGTAAATCTTCTGCATTATCCTTTATCTGCTTTTGCATCAAAATTGATTTATCCATTTTTTATAACTACGATTAGAAAAATGAAGTGTAAATTTAGGTTATATTCTACACATCCTAAAGAAAGTAAATAAATAGTGATATAATTATTTGTCTACCGATTAATTGAAATATTTAATTATTTAAGTGAATAAAATTTTCACTTTGTTTACATCATGCATCATTATATGTTTTAAAATCATCAATATTATAAGAAATTCATACAATTCATTGTATTCAAAGTATTATATTTCGTTTCATGCAGAGAATTTTTTCATCAAATTTATATATATTAAATACCTTTTTGCTTTATTAATTATACTTGGAATTGTTAATATTATAAATAATAAGATTTTAATTGTAGCTACATATATTGGAGTAGATCACTTTCGGCAAATTTCGAAATATTTACATTTTCCGATACTAGTGCTACGTATTGGAAAATCTTTGAACTAATATTAATAGGAAGTTCAAACGTTATTAGATAGATTATGATTAATTGATTTATTTTTGTATCATTTATGTATCAGTAATAAAGGAAATACGTAGAAGTAATAAAAATATTTAATTTTCGACGAATGTACAAATATTAAGTTTGTTTCTATTCATCATAATTTTAAGATATTGTTATAAGTCAAAAATTAATTAATCACATTAATTTGATTATTCCAATTTTAATTATAATTAAAAGTTATATAATTTTTACATACTTTTGTATATAAATCAAAAGAATATCATTCCATACATTTCAACCTTATATCACTATTCGATCATCATTTGAACAACAATCAGTGTATATTAAATATTATTAATTAATAATCCATTTCAAATAAAATTAATTTTTATATAAATAAAATCTATGAATGACAATCTATATTTAATGAAACAATTTTGCACACTTGAATGGTAAAAGATAACATTTTCTTACAAAAGGTAAATGTGATTGAATTATAACAAACATGGCAAATATAGGTACGAATTCACAATACCTAGAGCTTGACTTTCGACCCCTTTTAGATTTGGGCATCTGCCATCGGATCAGAATTGACCACCTTCAATGTTAACATTCGCAATGACGATGCGGATTTTCTTAGCGAATCAGTTTACGGCTAACTAGCCTTGGGTGCATATCTGATCTTACAACTGATCAAATGTTGTTTATATCGGAGGTGTCATAACAATACAAATTTTTTTCGAAGTAATAATATAATATTTAATCGTGTTATTTAATATAATTATAAAATTGTGTATTACTATTTGCGATGGCGTAATATGTTGAAAATTCGTCAAAACCATGAATTAACCCTTTTAAATATTCTTTTAAATACTTATGTACAGTCGGTAAATCAGTGTAACATGAATATGGTGAATGCTTACAAGCATTCACTCAATACGATTAAAACAATACGATTTTACGCTTATCCTTTAAATATGTAAAATTCAAAACTTAATCTTGAAAAGATAAAGGTGTAAAAATAAATTTATGAAAGTTTTTAATGCAGTTTTTACAGGTGCGTGGATTTAAAACGTTTTATGCAAAGTATAACACATTTGAGACAATAAATGATTACTTTTAAAAATATATTGTATTGTGAGTAAACTGAAAAGTTAAAGTTAATTCTTATGGATACATGAAATTAGTAACTGCTGGTAAAATAAATTAAAGTTTTAGTGGTAATTATTTTAATTAAAATGTGAAACTTGTTTTATAAATTCGAGTATAACCATGCATTAACATATAACATTTATCTGTTTGTTAATTAACAAAACGTTTAGATTACATTAATTTAAATAAAAGCATGCGAGGTGAGATATATTTGATATTAATTTTATTTTATATTGATAAATACACGTTAATTTTTAATATTTTTATTTTTATTTTATTTTGCTGATATAATTTCGAAATTAAAAACCAATAAATTATTAATATATACAAAAACATATGTATATTAAATAAAATTATTCCATACCTTTACAGCAATACAAGAAAGAAGTAAAACATAATATATTATGTACTAATAATTATTTATAAAGTTTATAGGAATTTTGTGTTACTATGAATACCAATAAGGTAATAAAGTTATTCATTAATATATTTACGATTCACTATAAATTTGTTTACACATTCTTTGTGTTTACTTCATCTGCTATGTGTTTTTTTTGTATTTCTCTCTTCATATATGTACATATTCTCGCATTTCATCTTAGTGCATCTAATTAATTGTATGTTCTTTTACAATTGTCCACAAAGATGTTTATAGAAGGATAAACCGCTTTAAGTTAGTTTTAACTGACTTAATCTATATTATTGCATTAAAATCTGAACGGAAGTGTTTCGTAGTTCGGCCAATGTCGCATGCTTCTTTCAAACATATTTTTAGACTGCTCGAAGAGCATCAAACGACCGTCAGACAATCTGTTAGACAATGATGACGTTACGCGCACGTGTCATTAGGAATAACACGGAAACTCTAAAACAAAATGATACTTTGATTACAGCATCGATGACTCATAGCTGAAATAGATTAGTTAAAAAAACAAACTCATAAATCATAACTCATAAATCAAACTATAGCTTCGGCTTTTATTAAATTACCATAATGGAATCATCATTCCATAATGATCTAACGTTAGTAATTATACAAAAAAGAACTTTTATATATTATATGCAATTGTAATATGAATTCGTTAATCATAAATAAAAATTTTACATGTTATTTATTTATAAGTGCTTTTCAAGGATTTTTAAAGCGGAGGTGGAGATCCGGAAGTTTAGCAAATGACATTGATCTAAAAGTTAAAGTAGTCCAAGCCACACGAGCTTTTTAGATAAGTTTTATCATGGAAAGAGATATTGAAGAGAATTTTATTTATTAAGAATAATATTTAAGTAGATGCTGAAAAAAATATAAATAGCTCAAAAATATCAATTGTTAAAATTCTTTAAAAAAATATTATTCGATGCTTTTATTCTCGTTAGTATACTATCTTTCATTGATTTTAATCATTTATAGAATCTTCAATTGTGTATAATACGATGGTAATTTATGAACTTAGTCCAAGAACAATCTCCGTGAACTAGCAACTTGTCAGGAGATCATACCTAGTCTAAGACTGCAATTGTGACATACTGTGAAACCTCGTATAAATTGTATGTTTACTCAGACGGCAGTTATTCCAATGTTCGAAGTTATATTTAACGGCGTCGCTGCATACTGGCGCAAATCCCAAAACTACTCGGTATTATTTACGGTGCACAGACCAAAAAACTATAGACACTTCCCGGCCATGATTCTTGCGCATTAACAATGGCATACTGTTTACGTTGTAACAATTGTTTCTCGTACTGACATCCTTATGCAATATTTAATTTGCAACCTAGAACATAGTCGCCACTTTATTCATTTATGATAATCGAATTAATATTAATAGGCAAATATTTTCAGTAAATTAAAAGTTGAGAAAATAAATTTGAACTTTCTAATTTTCATTGGAACTTAGAAAATTTTATCATATCTGTTTTCAGAGATCCACGATGGATTTCAAGTTAATAATTCTTCTGTCGAAAAAAGATTGTGAAAAGTTCATCAATTAAAATAGTAACATTAAATCGGGAAGATGTTTTAATTCCATCATAAATTTATTCCATAGAGCCTGAGGTATTTGCTTATCTAATAATAATTGAGCAAATACAATCAAATATTCATTAACAATTACTTTTCATTGATAGATTTATGAAAGTGGAGTTTATAGTAACGATGAAAAGAAAGAAATTATTATTGTTACGACAAAGTTACTTCCGTTACGAAACTGACAAATACTGAACTAAGGAAAGATGACGGTCTCGTATCAATATCAAGTCGCAAACTCAACCAGGGGTGGATTTACCAGGCTTCTTTTTATGTGGAGAGGTTCACTCTACAAATTAATCTATAGAGAACTACTCTTATTTCTACTCCTTTTTGCCGCACTTTCCACTATTTATCGTCACCTACTTAATTCCACGCTAAAAAGGTTCACAGTTTGATTCTTGCTAAATATGAATTTTACTAACTCTGATGGGATTAAATTACAATTTTTGTCGTTCTTTTTTTTTGATAATTAAGCTTTTGTAATTAATAGAGAAAGCTGCAAAAGAGATATGAATTATATTTATCCCATCATCAGTTGCTATTGAGATCAGAAAAATATTTTAGCTAGTAATTGTTAAGTATATACTGTTTTATTTCTAGAAGTTTCGAACAGATCGTTATTTACTGCGATAATTTTATTAATTTAATTCCATTAAGTTTTGTTCTTGGATTCTACGTGTCTTACGTTGCTCAAAGATGGTGGCAACAATATCAAGCGATACCTTGGCCTGATAAGTAAGTTCTGAAAATAAACAATCGAAAAAATAATAAAATGTTTAATAATGATAATTATTATTGATAGGACAATGCATTTAATTGCATTATATGTTACCGGCAATGATGAATACGGTCGTATGCTTCGAAGAGGTCTGATGCGTTACTTGAATCTTTCCTTGATACTTGTTTTACGTTCGATCAGTTCAGCAGTGAAAAAACGATTTCCAACACTCGATCACGTCGTTGATTCTGGTAAAGTTTTCTTTTAGCGTGAACATACTAATTTTAACCTGTAGTATGCGTTCCTACAAAAGTGTACATACATTTACTTACTGTGAAGAAAGACTAACAAGGCAAAATCTATGATGAAACGACGGAAACCAATAACAGAAAATTTTTATGAACGGAAATAAAAATCATAATTATTGAATTTGGACTAAAAACTTATTTTAATGAAGGTGATTCTTTTTTTAATCGAATATACTTATAATATTTTTTGTTATGCATAGACCCTACAAAATTATAACAATTTATAAACACAATTAATTTTCAATATTAGTAATAACATTAATTTAATATCATACTAACATTATAAATACCGTTTGCAGGTTTTATGACATCACTCGAATTGGACTTGTTTTTGGCAGTACCGAGTTCAGAATTCAACACTTATTGGATCCCTTGCACATGGTTCATCAATCTTCTAAAGGAAGCGCGCCAAAATCACAGGATCCCCGATCCTCAGGGATTAAAACTAATTATGGAGGTATTGTATCGGATGATACAGAAAGAATTTATAATTTATTTAATGCAATTTATATTAAAAAGTCAAATGATATTGAATGAAAGACAGTATTCATTACAGGAATTTAATGAATTTCGTACAAAATGTGGCCTTTTATGGAGCTATGATTGGATATCAATTCCATTAGTTTACACACAAGTGGTAACATTAGCAACATATAGTTTTTTTGCCGTAGCTTTAATAGCTCGCCAATACATTGACGGTAAAGAAAAACAATTCCAACTACAGATTGATATTTACATACCAGTTTTTACGATCCTACAATTTTTCTTTTTTATGGGTTTGTTAAAGGTACCTATAACTTTTAACTAGAATGAAAAAAAACAATATTATAATAATAATTGTATTCCAATAGGTAGCAGAACAATTAATTAATCCCTTTGGCGACGATGACGAAGATTTTGAATTGAATTGGATAATTGATCGCCACACAAAAGTAATTAGATTTCTTTGCACACATCGTCTCATACGTTCTCAAACTACATAATTTTATTTTTACATTTGCTATATGCACTTTAGGTATCATATCTTGGAGTAGATACTCTAATGAATCGATGTCCACCATTGGTCAAAGACATTTACTATGATGCTGAAAATTTAATTCTACCATACACGGAAGCTGCAGCTGCTTATAAAAAGAAAACTTATCGCGGTAGCGTGGCAAATATGACGTTAGTATTCTTAAAATATCACTTTATTCTTCATATTAATGTACGTAAATTAATATGCAAGGAAGTAATTTAAAATTCGATATTCGTGTATTAATATTTAGAGTTCCTGAAGAAAAACAAACCATGTTTCTACCAGATGTTATAGAAGAGGACGAAGAGGATTTAAAACAGTCACATTGCACATCAACATTGAGTTTGGCTACACATAATAATGATAGTCCATTATGTCAAAGACGGTAAGATTGACACATACCTTTAGATAAATATTTCCTTATTTTTTTATATTTTTTGAGATATTTTCTTATAAATTATAAAGATAAAAAATATATATAGCCTAAAATATAAAACAAAAACGATCTTTAAAAAAAATAAAGCTATCGAATAAATAATTCAAATACTTAGAAACTTTATTAGATTTATTATTTACAAAATGAAGTTTTATTAAGTTAGACCCGTTTGTTTTAGCCAGATCAACCTGGACTGTGAAACACCTACGACGACTGATCAAACTTGTTCTGAGACAATTTTACAATTTGATATTCAAGAACCGTCATTTCAAATCGACCAAACAGAGCAACGAAGAAAAATGATAACGGAGACCGTGAAGAAACTTTCACCTTTAGGAAAACATTCAGTACCACGAATCGATACAAATCGTAAGGCATTTTTTACAATAACAAAAAGCCCTAAAGTGATTGTACAACCTTCGGCGAGTACATCTAATTTGTCAAAACTTACAAGGCATATTATAGATACACCTACTGTATATACTGGTAATGTAAATCCATGGAAAGACTATAGCTCAAAAATTATACAGTCACCCTCGTTCGAAGCTTTTAGTTCAGAACATTCTCCGGAAGTGGAGGGAACGTATGACTTCGAAAATGTACACCCATCCGATAATGTCTGTATACACCCTAATGATAGTCCTCATTCAGATACATGTCAATCACAATGCCATCATACGACCATATCTCATTTAACACTGCCAGAAACACCTTTGTCAACTTCGACAAAAACAGCATTGCCAAAAAACAAAAGTGCCAAATTTCTTATAAAAAGACATAAATCAATGGGGACAAGTAAGAAGAAAGGTATTCAATGGAGACAAATGATAAAGGCAAGAGATAAAACAGATGATGTATCGGCAGGTGAAAAAGCAATTCCTTATTCAAGAAGTTCGCCAAATTTAAAACTAGACGCAACTCCGCAAGGTATAAAGAAATACATATCCGATGATGATTCAAGTTCTTCATAGAAAGAAGAATGTTTTATAATTGGATATGCTTATATGTGATAACTATTATGGAATATAAATAGTGAATTACATGAAAGTATTTATCACTATAAAATAACGATATTATCCATAAAAGTCTTACTATTAGGTATATCTCAATATTATTATACTATTGTAAGTATTACACTCGGGAAAATTAGTTGTTTGTAAAAATATAATTAAATGCATTAATATTATTTCGATAAAAATTAAATTATTTTCTTATAATCATAATATATTAAACTTCTTTTCCTTAAAATATAAACCTATCAATAATAAATGTGTGTAAATTAAAAAGTTATTAAAAACATTATTTTTTTAAAATCTCTTAAAATTTCAGTTTTTACGCGTATTTTTATCTTTTATTTATTTACTTACCTGTTTCAATATTTATCTTAAATATATCGTTGTCTTCATATTTGTATTTACTAGTTTTTCAAAATATGAGAGAAGAACACATAAATAGCTCTAAAAAAGGCATTCTTTAATCGATCTCCCGGACACATTATTAATTTACATGTTTGGATAAATTGTATAATAGGGATTCTTAAATTGCTTTGAATTAATCGTATAAACATTTGGATCATCCACTGTAAATGGCTGAATAATATTTGATCCCAAATTTTTCTGATTGTGTACATTTGGGATCATATACTGCGGCATGGGCGTAACTTGTCCAACAGTTGCATCTTCTACTAATTTTCTCTGTGAATAAATCAAAACTTGTGGAACATTTATATCTTGTTGCGATACAGAGTTTTCCACGGAAACCGAAAATCCAGTATTCGACAGTTGTTGTGCCTTACACTTTTTTCTATGTGCATAGAGTGATCCGGCATTATTATACCTCTTTGTACAAATTTTGCACGCATATGGTCTCTGTCCAGTGTGTGTGTAAGTGTGTTCATTCAACGAGGTCAGTCTTCTAAATGATTTTGTACAAATCTGACAATGATATTTCGCTTCTCCGGTATGCATAGTTATATGCCGTGCTAATGTATTAGCACGTGCGAAGGCTCTGCTACAATACTGACAAATATAAGGTTTTTCTCCGCTATGGGTACGCAGATGCAATTGTAAATAAGTGCTCTTTGTAAAAGCTCTACTACACACATTACAGACATATGGTTTAACTCCAGTATGAGTACGCATATGTGCAACCAAAGAACCACTTTGTGCAAAACATTTGCTACAGACTTCACAAAGGAACCTTTTTTGAGTTTCTTTGACTCGTTTATGACGTTCTATATGATTTGCTAGCGATTGAGCCTGTGCAAACGATTTAGGGCAGATTGCACATTTGTGTGGTCTATTATGACGATCCTGAAATAATATTCAAATTTCAAAGAAATTACATTAAGATAGAAAAATTGTTTAGCTTGAAATTTAATAAAATTAAAAATATATATTTATTAAATTTTTTACGATATTTAATATCCTGTTTTCTCTTTACATTATTCAATAACTTACTTTTTTCCTTCCTTCTAAACAGTCTCCTTTATTTATATTGTCTATATCTTCTTTATCATCCAGGTCAGAGTTTTCAAATAATTCAGCCTTATGTTTTGATTGTTCATGATCTTTTAATTTATCCACTCTTGAAAATCCTTTACCACATGTTCCACATGTGTACTTCAATCCACTATGTGTGGAAACATGCCTTTTAAGATTTCTTTTTGTTGCAAATAATTTTCCACACTGAGTACATTGAAGACTTTCAGCAGGGAGATTTTCATCCTCCTCATCTTCTTCATCTTCTTCTTCTTCATTTTCTTCTTCTTCTTCAATTGTATCTGTAGATCTATCTTTTGTTGAACACTGAGAAGAGTCATCTAATTCTTCTAATTTATACTCTGGATGACTTTTAGCATGTGTAATAAAAGATTTTTGGTAAGTAAATTGTTTTGAGCAAACTTTACATGTAAATTTTAGGCTTTTTCGTTGTTCTTTAGAAGAGTCGTCATTTTTTTGAATTTTTATTTTTTTATCCTGAAATATAAAGATATAACTCAAATATGATTCAATTATATAGTAAAATAATTTCAATGGAAACGTATTAAGAGATACCTTCTTTGGTTAAACCAAAGAATGATGTCAATGTTAACTTATTATCATTAAAGATAAAATTATATATTCATTTCAGTGAAGCAAAATTTATTTAAAATCAAGTTTAAATACTTACTTGGATATTACTAATTCTTTTATCTTGTACATTTGCAATTCCTTTGCCTTGCTCATAATTAATTCTCTTGTCTTGAATATTTTCTTTTCTATCATGAGCTTCATGACAAATTGCAACATGATTTTTCACTTTTGCAAGAGTAGAATATTGTTTATCACAAACATAACAAACATAACGCAATTTAGTTTTACGTTTATGTACAATGGCATGTCTCTGCAAGGCCACTTTTGTACGAAAAGACTTAATACACTGTGTACACCGTAGTCTAGTTGTGCGTGAAATTAATGGTTTTTCTTCATCATCTTGAATACCACCTGTCTTTGATGTTTCTTCTAATACCTGTTGATTTTCTTCATTACTTATTTCTTCTTTTAATGAAGCATCTTTACTTTGTACCACATGATCAACCAACAAAGAAAACTCTTGTTTTATTGAACTTATTTGTCTTACAGAATCATCCTCTAATAAACTTTTATAAACATTTACATTTTCTAAGCTTTTTCTTTGTTCTGTGTCACTTAATTGACTTTGTGAGTCTTTTTCATAACAAAACAAGTTCTTCTCTGAATTAAGACAAAAGGAAGAATCATCTTTCGTGAAACAAAAATTATCAGGACAGAAATTTGTAGAACAAACTTCCTGCTTTTCTATATTTTCTTTCTCAGACGATATTACACTAGATATTACATCAGCAATTATTGCTGTAACTATACTGGCGCTGGTAACAGAATCATTGGAAGAGGATTTTAGCTTCAAAATCTGACGCAGTTTTTCATCTGAATTTTGTATTTGACATTTGAAGTCATAGGATGCATCCAAACGTTGATTACAAGGCAAACAAATTATTGGTGGTAAACCATCTCCTTCTTCAATCTAAAACAACATCCATATACTGCTTCAATCTTAATAACTAAAATCTACCAACATGTAATTTACAAAGCCATAAATAATATTTTTATATTATTAGTAAGCACATGTAATACAACTTATAAACTTATACAAATTTTAACTAACAATATTTGCGTTTATAAAAATAATAAATAAAAATAAACACTATTGCAATTATAATAATAAACTTTTGTATTAATACATAAACAATTAGATAACAAAACAATTGAAGAAATAAAAGTTCGGAATATCAAATTTATTGAAAACATAATATTATTCTAATTGCTTTGCAATTTTTAGAATATCAAATTTGTTTTTAAGTAGTATTGACTTCAATTATTTATATTTAATACAGATGACATCGATTCCAACAATTTTTTTAAAAGCTACAAATAGTATACAATAATAACGTTAAAAACATACAGAAAAAGAAAAAATAATATTCAAAAAAATTATAATTTAGTATGTTATTATCGTAAAAGGAGTTACAAACTAACCTGTACAGAAGCAACGGCCATAAGTTTACGAGGAATAGCGTCCCCATTTCTAAAAAGTTCACAAATTTCAGCAGCTCTTTTTAAACAGATTCGGCATTCATCTCCATAAATTTTCTCACGTGTATCAACTAACTGCGCGTTTTTCGAAACTTCCATTTTAATGCATTTGGAAATCAAGCTACGACTCGAACTCCCCTCCTAAGAAATCAAGAATGTTTTTAACATTTTTGTTGTTCAATGTATTTGTAATTAATAGCTGCTCAAATTTAATAAGAAATATTATGTAAGATTGGAATAGTTGATTAATAATTGAAATTTAAAAGAACGTCATAAAATCAATATTTGCATAAAAAATATGATGAAAGAACATAATTCATATAAAAATATAGTATAACATTATATAGCGTTATAAATAATTCATTACAGATTACCTCAAACTTCAAAATGTTTCAAAATACGAACGAATATTACTAAAAATAAAATCAATGTACTCAGTTTCTAACAAAGTGATTTTAATACCATATTTTGAGAAATAAAAAAAATATAAATCACTGGATTAATTATTAAAACGGTTTCATTATTCATTGTTTTGTATTTTATTATTTCAATAATAACTCATTGTGTTACTTGTTTCGCAGTGTTTTATTCTTTTTCCTTCTTAACCTCTACTTATATTCTGTATGAAAAATTTATATATCATTCTTTCCCCATTCAAAAATCAACGTCACAAGTACATTTTATTCAATATTATTCAGTGAACTGTTGTATTATTGTATATATTATACAAACAGGCATAATATTATGCTCATTTATATTTATTAAAAAAAGATATAGAGGAATACATATGCAGATTGTATTTTAAATGTCAGTTTAGATGTCGCGATAACATGCTCATGCGTAGTTTTAACAGCATATGAAAAGATATTAAAAGTTTTCCTTTATTGTAAGATACAGTTTTTTAAAAGTGAAGTAATGGAACAGAAAAAAATGTATAAAGTAAATACAAAAGTTTACATTAAAAAAGGAAAGGTGGAAAATATTTCATTTTGATCTTAAACACGCTTTTCGTCTTTTTATTGTTCCAATTTATTTTTCAAAATCAATTAATGTTACAATAGAGCATTTTAAGTATAGACTTGTTTCAAAGAAACATACAAATACACTGTCTATACACGTAGAGTAAATATAGTTGCATTTATTCATAAATTTTCTGGCGACAATTGTAATGCACCTTTGACAGGAGCAAAGCTTAAATTAGTAGCCACATCTTTTCTTTTTCATACTTTCTAATATTGTGTTCCTTTATAGTTACAAAATTAAGATTAACATATATTTATGCCAAAAATTAGTCATTTACGTAAAATTATTCTTATTGAATTGTGAAACGTATTTTATAATATATGCTTCGCGAGAAAAAGGAATCACATTTAAAAGGTAATTATTCTTGTTAATTAAAATTAATTATACACGTATCTTATTTTAACATTATACGCGTTTTAAATATATTTAATTTAAATACATCAGCAAATGTAAAAACAGATGTTTTTTATAAAATTACATATCATTCATAAATTATATTGAGTTAGAAACCTTAAGCAAAACTAACCTTTTAAATCATAATAATATTACATTAAACAACATTATTTAAAAGGAACTTCCATTTAATACATATATCATGTCTGTTCACTTTGATTAAATAATTTTGAAAATGAAATTGATCTGTCTTTCTATATTTCTATAATGTTATGTATATGCTTTAAATTGTATACAAATACGATTTCATTTTAAAGCAGATAGTGTTTGAAAATTTTAAATTACTAATCAATTGTTTACTCAATTTTCCAGCATCGCGTATATCACTAATTACTCATTCTGGTTTCGACGGAAGTTTCCATTTGCTCAACGATAAACAGTTCGCAACGAATAATAGAACAATCTTAGGTATGTTATTAACATCATTCGTAACCCGTTAGATTGCAATATATCCATATTATAGTCGTGTGTACAGTAATAAATCTCAATTTGTTATTTTAAAAAATAAATCATCTGTATTTTGAAAGGTCGTTCCGCAGTTCCGCCAAGGAAGAATATACATCTGAAGAAATACTCTATATCTAACGGGTTAGATCACAATCGATTATTGCACTATATCCTTATATCAGAAGAAAGAATAACGGCTATATACAATTGATTCGGTGATATTTAATTTGTGCATTTTTTATACTAAAAATATTCATACGTTAGAAAAGTGAATTTCCTGGAAAGGATAAGTTGTAATCTTATAAAAGAATATGTGTGAAACTTAGTAATGGTGATGGAATAATTGTTAATCGATTAAAATTTTACTCAATACTACTTAAAATAGACAAATTTTTTTCAATAGATTATTTTGATTGTTAGTTAGATTTATTTTTATAGCTGTACAAACAAGTGATTAAGAAATAGATGGCGCTTGTAAAAATTTGTTTATTCATTTTCGTACGAATAAAATGAAGCAATCATAGAAAAATATGATCACGACTATAAACAAAAGACTGCGATTATTAAAAGAATTAGGAACCTGTTTTATTTTTTCAAAAATGTTTATTTTCTATGAAATTTTTTCAATACGTTTTCTATGGATTTCATTTGGTGAATTCCAATAATCGTTTCTTGCTTTACGTCTTTCTCTTTTATAGTTGTTGGTCTGCAATGCGCGATTGTCAATAATGACTGCTTTCTGCCTTTTTTTTTCTTTTTTTGTTTTTGTTATTTCATGTTGCACATATTTTTCAATTCCTAATCTTATACTCTTTTGATTATATAAAAAAAATACCGAGTGTCCGTAGAAAATATTTTAACTTCTCGTGCATTAGCTTCTTCTTTATTTGTGAATTCACTACCTAATAAGTATTACATTGTTAATTACAGTGCTTTCAGTTTTAGTATTCTATTTCACCAATATATTAATAATTTCTTTTTTTTTCAAGTTGAGAAACTATTTAAAGATGGAAGTATTCAACTTTGACAAAAGGTCGATAATAAAAAATCCAGAGATACACAAAAATATTATAGTACGAAATTTTTATACAGTAAAAGTTAATTGTTGAAATTATTACCATTTTCTTATAGATAAAAAGAATCTCAAGAATTTTATTAAATGTCATTCTTACTTTATGAATTTTGGCAAATATGTAGTGATTATAGATTTTGGCGAGTTTTACCTATTAAAAGATTTTTCAGAAATTTCTTAAGTTTAGAGAATTTTTAAATATTATATAAACCCTTTAAATGCTTGAAACTCTAGATCTTTGGAATGTTCATGGTTTTTTTAACATCTTACACACTCTCCCTGGTACCCACATATATATGAAGTATTAATAAAAATTGAGAACCTCGTTTTATGAACAATTCTATCTATTAGAGTAATGTAAAAAGTTCGTGTAGAATTACGATCGATAAAATCGTCTTTAGTACTAGCTCGTTTTCAAAATACATGATCTAGTATATTAGTATAAATGAAAGCATTACATCTTGTAAAAGTTTCTTACCGTAGAAAAAAAGATGCCGAAAAGAGAACGAAAATAAGATTTTGCAAAGACAGAAATATTTTATTCTTTTCGAAGATGTACGTGTTTTATGATTTAAATGATATAATAAATAACACTAACACTAACAATATTTTAAGATATAATACCTTCGTTTATACTATAATACTTTGTTACATATATGATTTATATAGATAGACAGAAAGGTAAATACACATAGATATACACCTATACATGTTATATACAAATTTACGGACACCCGGTAAATTTTGCACGAACTTTTTATAATATCGCAAACACTTCAACTGGAGTATAATTTAAATAATTAATTTTCTTATCGGTTTTCATTAAATACTTTCGTTATCGTGGTCTCTGATTGTTTTATACCTTTCTCTACGAGTTTATCTTTCATTTATATTAATTAATACTTATTAGGCCTAATACGTTGCACTTCTTAGGATATAATGCAACTGAAAATATAATATATTTCTCTAAAACAAGATAACTGGTTATAAATTTTAACAAATAAATTAACTTTATTTTTTATAACATCATTTTACAGTTTTATGATTTCATTTGTAACTGAAAATATGGCTTAAATGAGAAAACGAATAAAATATAATCAAAATGTGAAAAAATAAGAAATTCTGATAAAAAAGCATTCATATTTTCTAAAAAAGGGCTCTGAAATGTTATCTTGTTTTAAATTTTGAAATATCTACTTTTTAATTGCATTAATCCAATAAAATATCCTATATATTTATTCTATTATACCTAGACCCTTTCAGAAAGCAAATGGTTTGATTTCGTATTAAAAAAAAAAAGGAAAGAAAAAGAAAAACAAAATGTTCTCATAAACACACTTGTAAATTTACAAATGTTAACGATACAATAAATATCGTAAAGTAAACTTAAAGTAATAGATAAACTGTACAACAAAATATGCTTAACCACCAAATAATCTGTAATTACATTAATTCTTTTACAAGATATTCTTAATGTAACACCAAATAAGAAGCCATTTATCGTATTGTTATTATATTTTTTTTTTTAATACAAAATCTTGATTGCTACCCTTCGTTTTATAATATGCCCCTATGATAAAGATTCGAAAAATAGTGTTGCAACAGCTTAATATTATTTATTATTTAATCATAATGAGTATTATTCTTATCGACAAACAATATATTTGGTTATATTAAGTTAATATTTAATAGAAATAATATTTTTTTTCAATATTACACGGCTAGTTCCATTATTTATATATTAATTTATCATCGAAAAGGAAGAATAGAATTTTCATTTCCTATTCAGTATTTTCCATTTCACTGAATCCATTCAACATCATATTTTCTCTATCTCCGTTTTTTTTTATTTCTCTATTTTTTTCTTTAAATTTCTTTAATTTTCATCTCAGCAAAATAGATTTTATCAGTGTCTCTCATTTTAGAGAAATTAATTAATCGAAAGTTGTTTCGTGGTTCTATGAATAGTAATTTATTGGCAGCTATATTTATCAATAAATACTATATGCTTTTAAATTTAAGTAGAAAATCTATTATGTCGAAACAGCTTACACTGTCATTGCTAAATAGCATGTTTCATCGTATGTAATTAAATATAGCATTTGCAATTAATTTACCAACAGTATATCCTTGGTTTCAATACAATTGTCTTGCATGTTTGAAACGGAACGATTGCGATTCAAGTAAATAATTTATCATTGTTCAATTCTTGATTACAATTAAGTTTCGCACTGCCATTTGTAAAACTACTTATTTCACGCCTCAGTTGTACGTATTTAATACAAGTTTTCTCGACCAGGTACACGTAAATTCCAACTAATAATATTTAAATAATTTTTTTAATATTTTATAAATTATAGAAATCTAATAATTATAAACGAAACGTTTTTATCATCTAAAAATTCCAATAAAATTCCAAACTTTTTAATTACACTACATATCAGCGAAGCAAGAAACTAGATATTAATACTAATTTGACAAAAGATAATATACCTCAAAATTATATTAGGCCGTAAAAGAATCATAACACGTAACCCAAACACGTAAAATTCTACGTAATTAAAAGATTAATATTTTATTTAAAAATTATCACAAAATATTATAATTAGTGGAAAAACTAGTAGCAACGATTACTATTCATCTCCCCGAAATATATGAAATATATCTTAACACCGAAAGAAATTTACACAACCCAAGTCGTATATTACAATATTGTCTATAGTCTTTGGTTTTAAAAATATTTAAATTCACGCCTTCAACAAGATAAAGTGCTGACAAATTTAACAAATAGATTCAATCTCCAAGGTACATCGTATTGTTATAACATATTTAAACTTTCATCTCAACGTGTTCTTACTTGTTCAGCATAATTTATTTCATCTTAACTTCGTCTCGGTGTTTTCATTATTATATTATCTACGATATACATACTGTCAGAAGTGGAAGAAAAAGCTTTTTGATTTTCGTTTCTCGATTCAACTAAACTCGTAATCTTACAATTACCCCCCATTTCCCAGTTTCTAGAACAATCAAGCAACTATCGCTGCTTTAACGCTGAACACTTTCCTTCGGTAATCTAAGTTACCCTATTTCAATCACAGAAAATAAACACTTAAAGAAAGAATAAGAAAAAATGTCGAAACGTTTCTATAAGCAAGATTTCCCTTCGCGATCTTCGGATTTCAATTTCGAATATATAAAGGTATAATTAATGAAAACGATATAGCGTGGTCGTAAATTAAAACATCGAAGCATCGACACCTATTGATTCTCAATTCGAATCTTAGACTGAAAAAGTCACCTCCAAGTCGATGCCGAAAATTTTCTTATAATACATATAAAACGAGTGAAAAATAGGAAATTATATACTTCTAGAACCTGTATTTCAAATCGCGTGCTATACGAAATTTCATCAAATATACTGCAAGGAAAGAGACAATTCAAATTTGAATATCGTACAATTCTCGATGAAGTCGAAGCTTCTTATCTCCTATTTTGTATTTCAAGTTGCTATTTCTATTCTCGAAACATACAAAACGCTATATATTTAACACGCATTTAACACGCTATATAATTTTATGACCTCGCTATACAGCTTTCATTAGTTATAACTCTTTTGCACAAAAACGTCTGAAAGTTCCTCGACCAATTCAAAAATCCTCGAGTTACATCGGACTAATACTTGGGATGCTCGAATTGAAACTCGTACTATTCGAGACATCGATACAATACGGCATTACCTTTCCATGCACGCAGGAGCTGGAAGTATCCCTGTTGAGGATCAGTAACAGGAAGCCGGAGACCGCGGCGAACACTCCAGCAGACATCAATCCTAACGCTGGAAGCTTCTTTGATGAAAGAATTGGTCCATCTTCGAGTTTGAGGTAGCACAAAGCAGGAAGAACGTAAGCTAACGGTACAGCAGCGAGGATGCCATTCAATTCGAGGACCACTCCAAGGCAATCCGTGGACATCGAGATCAGGTAAGCGACCACGACTATCGATAGAGTGATTATCAAGTACTTCCGGTCGGAATTGGGAATGTACGCGGTATGGTCCTCAAGCTCGTCGGTTCCTTTGATCGCTGTCATTATTACCTAAAATCAATTTCATTTCTCAAACAAATTTTCAAATAAAGTTTCATATAAAAATTTGAAGTTCAATTGTAGAATGAAAAATGGCGTCCGAGATTAAACTGAGTTGTAAATGTTTTATTAAAAGTTTCACTAGGAGTTAAAAAATGTTGAACGACGAAAAAGTCTAAAGTTTGTCATTTAAATTCGTTATGAAACATTTTTCGTTATAAACATGATTAAATTGTGAATTTTATGTCGTTTATGGAAGAAACTTGGGAGTGTAACTTTAACATTAAACTCGATTATGTGACTTCTTCTACGAGATGAACGCTTCGGGGGAAAGGGTTATCATTGATTTTTTTTATTCTTGCAAGAAGCTATTAACGGTTACATAAGCTAGCCTTTAGTGAAAACCCGAATATATTAGTTACTTCTAGCATAAATTAATAAAATATGTTTAGTAAATAATTTCTCTTTAGATTTAAACATTGAACTGAAATATAAAAATTTCGAATAAAAGGTTGTCTTTTTCTTAATTTTTAATTATATAGTATTAGCGATACAATGAATTTTATGGTTGTATCAGCATCATCATGTTATCAGCAACTTATCTCCAGTATACTTCGCTTTGTCTATTATACTCGGCGTGCGTTTCAATTTACCCAGTTCCTTCATTCGTGTTTCTCCATTTCCTTTCCACAATTCACTTTCTATTATTCAGGACGTTCCAATATTATCCCATCTTCCATGCATCCCTACCACTCTCGTTCACAGTAATTTTCGTGTTCATCACTTTTATTTCGTTGAAAATTTAAAGGGACAAAATTCGATTGTTTGTTTAAAAATCTTTTGAAAATTTTAAACAAACAAAATTCAATTGTTTCGATGAAAAACAATCTTTTGATATCAAGAATAAAATTTCTCGTATCTCGCTCAACTACAAAATACAATTATCTTACTATTAAATATTAATTTTCACAACAAACACAAATTATTAAGTGAGAAAAATTTCAGTATGATTTCGATATTAAAAGAAAGAAGACCAATTATAAGAGGAATTACGAGAAATCTCTGCAGTAGCGAAACTGAGTAAAAAACCGATATTATAAAGATATATAAATATCTCACCTCCCTTGTGACGAAGCATTCGATGGGAAAGGTTAGAAGAATAGTCCCGCTGAACATGACTCTCGCAAAGTTCATCAGATCATCGTCCCAGCAATAATTTTCCATAAGATCACCTTGAACGTATGCGGTAAACGTGGCGTAGCCAATGATTCCAAAGGCTGTTGCGATTAAGAAGGATGTGAAGAGTGACCAGTGAGTGACGACGTCCCATTTTTGTTGAGTAGCTCTTTCTATAGATTCGTAGATGAGGAATGTATTATGGTGGCACATAAAGGCGAATGCCATAATTCCAACGGATGGAATTATGCCGGGAAAATTCGCGAATCGCCAACTATCTTCTTGGCTTGGCCTGAAAATTTAAACGATTTCACGTATAATTTCCTCGTAATTAAGGAGTTTTTAATGCAGTTATAAGATGAAAATTATGACAAAAGATAGAAAGACAGAAATACCATATTGTGTGGTAATATAAATATAATATCGAAAAGGATGAAAAAATCGAATATCAAAAGGAAAAAGAAAATATCGCAAGAGAAATGTAAATGCAAAGCTTGAAAGAAGAACATTTGGTAGATCACTCACACAATTGCTGACATCGTACTCATCCGTATTAAGATCGCCAAAAGTATGAAACCAACGCAGACCAATGAAAGGAAAGAGATCTTAGCTAGACGAGCCACGTTTCTATAAAGACACAGTGGTATAGTGATGTAAAGCGTTGCGAAGAAAACGACCACTTGACGATGAGCAAAAATGTTTGTCTCACTTATCCCTGTTACCCTTATTAGCACTTTCGTCACCGTGTCGCCGACGACCACATTATAAGAGACCATCGCTGAAAACGGAAAGAGAAATAAGTTACGGCATGAATGGCGACTCTTGAACACAAGAGGGGTTGCACTTGAAATTCACCAAACCAGTTTCAGTAAAACGCGAAAAGGGAGTATTTTCCAATATATTGTTTCGATTCAAATAGCCACTTTAGAGATTTTATCGAGATTTCTTTTTTTCTCTTTTACTTAAAACTTCTTCTTATATGAATTTTCAATAACAATACCCACATGATATTAAAATTCATATAACAGATTAATAATAAATTAATCGACAGCAATTTCGATCATATTATTATGAAATTAATGGAACACAGTGAAAATTTCTCCGTAATAAAACGATTATGAACATTAACTAGTTCCCTAATTTTTCTTTCGGTATACAGAGATTCAGTTATAAAAAATTCGTTTATTAACAAAAAAAATTTTTTTTAAACGTTTCTCGTTTACTTTTGAACAGTAACGTACATATAACGTAAAATATGCTGTCAGGTGGATTTAATACGTAGTAGTAGATCATTTTAATTAATGGAAAGGTTCGGAGAAATTCTAATTTTACCTTTTGTAATCGTTAACTTTAACCTTTCGTTACGAGTAACCTGAGTTTATAAAATATGCATATACCTATGAACGGATAAATGAACTGTAGAGTTGTAAGAATATAAAATCCCGTACGACCAAAACTGGCTCTCATTAAACCCTGGTAGCTCATTTCACCACAGATGTTGCCACTCCTAACCATTAAAATTAAAGAGTAATCAGTAAGGCCTGCCACCAGTATTAGTAATACTATCCCAAGACCGAATCCAGCCTGATGAAGAGCATAGGGTATACCTGAAAAGTATTAATTAATGTCTCGTCGTTCTTCTGAACGTTTCAAAATAATTGTTGTTCCTTAAACACCGAAATAATCCTTACTTTGTTGTTAAAATTAATAACTAATATTATTCATGGTTGTCATAGCGTTGATTTTGCAGTGTAAATTTCGCAAAATAGAAAAATAATTATTTTTACTGATATTAATATTATTTGCGAATGGATAATGTGTACGTAATAATTTTATTGATAAATCACCTTCGTTACAGGTTCAAAATTTCATGATTTCGTAATATTTTAACTGAATGAACGCGATAAATACGCAAATAGTTAAATCCTTGATGAATCATTTTCATACGAAATGATCAGAAAAAAAAACAGGCGTGATGCCAACATATCCTCTTGAAAAAATAAAATTGACACGAATCCCTAAATTTAAACAAGGCCAAGGTTCTAATCTATTTATGAAGATATCTTAAAAAATTATATTTGAAAAACTGGAAGTGTGATATCGGAAAAAGAATGAAGAGATCATTAAAATTTCATATGGAAAAATCGATAATTAAAAGTGTCAAGTACTTAATATTTATCAACGACCACTTTTAGCTATATAAATTAATTACATATATAATAATAAAATGAAGCATATACATATGTTTATATTGTATTCAATTATGGTCATAAAGGTTTATTGGATAAGTGCATTGTATGAATAAAATATTCGTGTATTAAAGAAATAAATTGTATATCATATATCGTTTCTCAATTCGGTGTTTAAGGATTTTTTTTTCTATCAATCACCAATAACATGATTGGTCGAATTACCAATAACACCACTGCCGATAATGGAATTGATGAAATTAAAACTGGCCAGGGGCAGGCTACTGAATTTCCCTGATTCTTCCTTCTTTTCCTATAAAATCACATTTCATTTATATCGATAAAAAAATGAAAGTAAATTAAAAAAGGAAAAAGAGAAAAGAATATCAAAGTAGTCACTTGAAAAACATGCAAAAAATAACTTAGAAAATTTTATATCAGAGTTAAAAACTACTTATATGCGTTAACATTAAACACAGAAATCTATAATAATTCAATCTAACAAAAACAATGCTCATAAAAAATTCTTATATAACACAAATTTGTGCGACGTTCAAGCTTTTATCTACTAGTACCTATTCAGTCAAAACGTTTAATCTTATACATTTCCATACTACTGTATTATAATATATTAATGATATTTAAATTAATGATTATTACATCTAACGAAATTCTTTACTTTCCATTTTGTGTAATATCTATTTTTTCATTTCATCTATACGAAAAATATTAACCTGTATGTCCATAAAAAAGAAAAAAAAGAAAAGAGAAAATAAAACGGTAATCGATAGCAAGATAAATTAATTTACGCAAAATTCATGCATTATTTAACTCTGACATAAACTAATCTTGATTGAACATAAATTCTAATTAACCAACATTTCTTACCCCGACAAGTTGCCTCATGTCATCGTAAGATTCCTCTGAACCAAGACTGCCACCCTATTTAAAGTCAATATTAATAGCAAAGTTGACGTCTGAATACTAATCACGGTAAAATCACCAAATGAACAAAATTACATTTTAATTACATTTTTTTGTATGATATTCTTACGAGGAAAATGTCTTTCTTCACCTTGAAAATACTAAAGGTACTTCATTTTCATTCAACCACGTTGCTTTTGTGAAATCATTAATTAAATACTGGTTGACAAATAATATGCGTATAAAATATTTTACCATAAATTAATAAACGAAGTGCCACATTCTCATCGAACAGACAATTGAAATAAAACTTTCGACGAAATAACAGATTTCGATACTAAATGCATATTAAATCGCAATATTGCAAATTTATTGTGGAGTTGAATTAACAACGAAATTAAATAACAGATTTAATTTACAATATCGCTGTAATTGAATAAATTCATTAGCATTTAATCAAATGAAAAATGCATAAATAATAAATAATTGTAATAAATATATTATAATAAATAAATTGTAATAAAATATATTATGCCATATTTAATACCGATACTACAACATCGTTTTGAACGCTATTGCTCATAAGTGTTACAAGTGATAGAAATATTAACTTTTTTCCATCTATATGCCCCACCCTTAAAACATATTCCTAAATCTACTAATAACATTTGAGAAGTCGTAGACTTTTCTGATAAGATTGAAAGTAATAAGATACCTATAAATTGAACGCTTTATTGAAATTATTATAACTTTATGAATTATAATTATATAATTACATACTTATGAAGCAAATAAATTAGTACCAAATATATATAGTAAGTCGTTTTATAACCCAGGATATATAGATATATTATATTAATTATTGTTTTAAGAAATATCATATAAATACAGCCAAAAAGAGAAATTGATTTTTACGCGTTAATTCGTTTATAACTTGATATATGGACATTTAATTTTTTATGATCCTTTATCCGTACATTTTAAATTACTTAGTTTTCCTTACAAATAGGATACTAACACAAAGCATTCCGGAAATATCGCTACTGAATAATTGGAAATAGAATACCAAGAAGTAATAGTTTATACGTAAAGAAAATTATTTCAACATAGCGTAAGTAGACAGTCGAAGAAATACGTAGAAAGAGAATGCGTAGATGTATATGTACATATCCGATGAGTTATAGATTTTTCTTCTTTGTCACCGTAGTACTGCAAATATCTTGGAATCAAAAGATACTTATATCTTCTTTTTCCTTTAAATAATAGCAGTTTTGAAGAATAAATTTGCCAAAAAATTAACAAAATTATCTTTTTTCTATTTTCGTTACTAGCAAAAGTTCATTTCAATCTCAGATTTTCGTTCAACTCAATTTCACCGACTTCTAAACGAAACGAAGTTCATAAAACTTTGTTGAAATTCAAGCTAAATGTCAAAATTTTTAATTACATGCTTCGATACCTGAAGATGTTGAAACATTTTACGATTTTATTATTAAGGCAAATATCCATTCCCGACTTTCAATCTATTGCCACAAGACCCTGCTATCGTTCACACATTTACCATCGTGATCATCCTTCAATCAGTTTTACGATGTAATGAATCTCAGCTGAAAGGACAGAGATTATACGATCTGATTGCATAAAACCACCAAGCAACAGCTACAAATCCGAAGCTCCCCGCGCGAGTCACTTCAAACAAACGCGGATTACGCGAAGGACTACGTTTTCTGAAATCGAGTTGCTCTTCTGTTTTTCTCTTTCGTTCTAAGTCGTGTATTGACAATTAGCCCAGGGAAAACAATTTTTGTCACACATTATTATGCTACCATATTCTTAAAAAGATGAAAGAATAACAACAATTTACAACTACTGGAATTGCAATTTTACTTACATCTTCGTAATTGCTTCTCGCGTCCAGAATATAACTCTTCTCGTTCGCGTCCAAAGCCATCACAGGAGATTGTTGAAAGGGGAAGAATTGGAGGTAGAAACGAGAATAAACGGAAATCTTAAAGGGAAGGTTCGACACGAGAATAGGATCGAGCAGACGTCTGAGGCGACTGCACCCTTCCTATCTAACCGAGCTTCCGTTTTCACCCCTCGTACAACCCCTCTAATGGCATGCACGTATAGTGGTTGCGATGGGTGCGTGCGCATCGCACACGTTCCTGTTTTTCTGCGTTATCGAGGTCCGACGATGTCTCCGTTATCGTCTGTTCGTCTTTATCTAGCTTTTCCCTGAATTCCATAGTTCTTTAGTCAAACCTTCGAAGCTGTAAACTCTTTCGAAATAGAATGAAGCAATCGAAAACAAAATGACAAAAATTTTACGAGATTCGCGTCAAAATGAACGATCGCTATAACGATGTGAGAAATATATATGTATGTTAGCCGTTTAGCTGGATTAAAGGTCGTTGACTAGAATGGAAAGATACATTTCAGAAGCGATGTTAGTTGGTAGCTTATTAATCAAATTGTTGTGTTGACGACATGTTGGTTTTATATTTGATAAGAAACAGAAGTGATTCATATAATTACAATGTATATATTTTATAATTCCACTCGGAAATAAACTTGATGATAATGTTCCAGCTAAACGGACATATATATTGCAATAAAATTGTACGTTTAAAAAGATGTCGAAGCGGTCATCTAATCATCCTGTTCTTTTTAATGAAACAAGTTAAATGTCTAACATATATATTAAAATTATTTAAAACTAATAATTACTTTAGTGTACTAATGACGTATAATTCTTTTTATGCTTAATTTTATTATCATGTGTATATAAAATATAGAAACATTATATTAAACAACAATAATGGAGATCAAAATTGTTAATTGTAGTATATATTAGAAAAATGATTATATTTTATATTTTAAAATTCTATTCATAGAGATATCATGCTTAAAAGTAAAGAATGAATACATTGTTCTATGATCGAGAACGATTACTTACAAATATTGCAACATTTTGAGTTTTATGGTTACTATAAAGTTTAAAATAAATACAAGGAAGCGACATTGACAATCATTATTAATTATCACATAATTTTATATTTTTTGTAGTTACATATATTTAGTAAATAAGTATATAAGCATTTTACATAAAAATAGACTTTAATAAATGTTTAGAAAAAGAATCAACCTTTTATTGGAAAATCAATTTTAAATTACGATTTTAAATCAGTTTTAAAAATTAATTTTCATTACGATCGCAAGAGATAAACATTTCATTATCAATAATTATTAATATTTAATTAAATACAATACTTAATACTTTATAATAACGTCAGTTATTGGTTACTTAACTGACTATACAAATTAATTTTAATGGCAAATAAGTATATAAGGACAAATTAGATAATAGAATAGTGATGTAATACATCTTTAATTATTTATCAATGTTAATTTTTACATAAATAAATGTATAAGAAAATCGCTGGCATAACTGTTGATTCCTAATCGATAAATACCAATTACATTAATTTTGCAATTACAGGAGTACATTTGAAATAACTTTTTACATGTTTCATTACAACCGTGTGTAATCAGACTTGTAAACACATTTCATTACCTATATTTTTATATTTTAAAGCACAATAAAAGCAAAAAATACATTTAAATCTACTTTATTCAATAGGTTCTCTATACCACATACCTAGAAGATACATACAAGAACTTTTAACAATCAAATTTTTATATAATTTTGTTTATTAAAAAATATATAAATCTCGATAAATATTCTCAAAATCAAATGCAACAGAAAAACAGTGCTTTCGCGCTTAATTATGCTTAAAAAACTGCATCACTCAATTCAATTTTTAGCCTTTATGTACTGTAAAATAAAATCAACTGTGCTCTACTTTCTTTTTCATAAAGAACTTCCATTATGTCCATAAGAAAATCAATATCGCTTGTATTTCATTCGCTACAAAGGAAGCAGAAGAAATCTGTAAAACAGCGTAAAAATGGACCTCGCATAACGGTTGCACTTATCGACTCTAGATATTCAAGAATGTCTCGAAGGATTTTGACAAGGTACCACAAACCACCCATTATTTTCAGAAACTGTCGGGCCCATTTGAACGTTGCTCAAAAGGGAATTGTTCATTCTCTGGTTCTTCATAATTTCTAACTGGCGTTTTAAATTTCGATACAGCTTTATTAAAGATTCCTATAATCGAGAAGAAGATTAAAATTAATTTGTTATATTTGATTTCCAAAAATATAATATAAAATAAATTCCAATTCAAAGAAAAATTTAAAAAACATTTAAAAACTATAAAATTGATGAATTTCTTTCTCTTCATAAAACCAGAATGCAAAATTTGTCGATATTCTGCATCATTTAAAAATTATTTTTTTTTTTTAACTATTTTTTCAAGTAAACAAATTTTAAAATAAATTTTGTTACTTAATAATATTTGGTTTCATTAACTCACTTTTTCGTCTTCAAGTTTTCTGAGCTCCTCTTGCTGCCGTAAACTGTCTATAGTCAAGTTTTTAAGCATTTCATTTTTATGTTGACCCAAGAGCGCTATCTCCGTTTGAACTTTCAAATATTCTTGCGCTAGTTGTTTATGTTCTTCGAAAATTTCTTTCGATCTTTCACAAGTTTGATCGGGCGTCAATGGTCTCAGGTCTGCATCCAAAAGGCGGTAAACATTGTCTAAATCTTTGTCGGTTGTGCTATTGCCTGTTAACGGATAATTATAAATGAAAATTAATATTCACATAATAGCAAATAAAATATGTAGAAGTTATGATTAGATCAATTAAATGTTCGCAAAATACCAATATTTTCTAAATCCATAGATATAGAACATAGATAAAAAAACTGATTTCACAATAATGACTTACTCCATAATAATAGTTATTACTATAATATATATATTACAGTAATATATTATAGTACTATATATACTTCTATACATACATAATTAAAATAATTACAAATAATTAAGTATCATAATAAACTGCTTAATATTTTGAAAAATCGACATTAATAAAAGCATAGAAATAAATATTTCTGGCTAATTTTATTTTTTAAAATAAGCAGAATAAAAAAGGCCATAGAAAGAAACATAATTTGTAAATCATAAACTCTGCTATTACATTCGTAAACACTAAATTTGATTTAAATTAAGAATCCAATTCTAAGAGATAAGTATTGTTCTTAGAGTTTAACTCATTCTTCGGCGACCGCAGCGAAGTTGTTAATTTTTCCTACATACATATTTACATTAAATCCATTTTGAATTTAAATTAAATTTTAGAACTTTTATATTTATTTCTAGGAACAACAATACTATATAAATTAGGAGATATTGTTTTCTATGAAATATTGTAATATTTTGCATTGAATATGAACAAACTTTAATTGATTCAGAGCTTTTGAACTTAATTTTCTCCAATACAAAAAATAGTAATTATACAATAACTGAAACATATTGAAATTAGTAAAAACTAATTTCGAAATATTCTGTAATAACATGAATATAATAACACCGTATAAAATGTACGTGTTATTCATTTCATCTGTCTAAAATATAATTTATATTTTCGACTTTTAACTTTTATAATATTTAGTACGTTCAAGTTAATATTTCTTCTGTACAATTAAAAAGGATTAAGTCTCGGCTTAATTTTTCACTTTTAAATGTCGTATAAAATTAAATAAAAATCCAATCCCTCTCCGACCACTTGAAGTTTCCTTAATCTTAGGCACCTCGTCTTTCCATCAATGAGAAACAGAAGACAAACAAAAGAATGTACTAACGTAGCAAAACCCAGCACCGCTTTAGGGTGTCCGTGGTGACGATGTTTGGATATTCTTCGCACATTTCCAAATATTGGAGCCTGTCGAGGCTTCGTTCATAATAGAATCGAATATCGCTCACATGAGAGATGTCACTCTTCTATTAAAAATTACCACGAACCACTCTTGATCCGGAGGATGGCGATTAATCAAATTGGCTCGTAAAAGAAAAAAAAAACACAAAGGAACGAGAAAATGAAATTCGAAAAAACAAAATTGCTTTTCGATAACGAGAATAAAAGAAAAAAAAGAAAGAAGAGAAAAGACCGTCGTTCTTGATGGTGTGTCGGGAGAGCACTAAACAAACGTGCATCTATATTGGGCCTGGTGAGTCAGCCACACCTGCTTCGAGGTATCCCCCACCAGACAGGACGTGCAAGCACGAGCCAAGAAGAAAATACGGTTGTTCGACTCTTAATTCATCTTCAGGGCTGAGATTAAGTCAAAGCTCTGATTTCCATGTTGATGCTGAAGTGAAAAATTAAGCGTCCACTTAAGGGAAGCAGCTTGTACTCTGCATCACCTTTACTTGAAAGATATGCACTGGAACTTTGAAAGCTATATCAAGAAGAATAATACTTAGTTCAATAGAAAAATAATAATTTCAAATATTAGAAGATCTAACACTCCGTTTAAAGAAAATGTCGTAATGAAATATGCAATATATTTTATAACTTATTTTTCACACTGTTATTCAAAATATTCAACCTTCATAGATGTTTAGAAAATGAATGTTTTCCTCTTATCCGATTATGTTATGCTTCTGTAAATATATTTATAGTTCTATATTTAATTTCCTAAAAGATAATAAGAGACTTAAAGTTGTTTAGCACGTAACTTTTATTATCGATGATAGATGTCAATCAAGAATAGGTTCTTTTGATTAGTCGTATGTTAAATTTAGAATACTCGCACAATGTGACTGTTTTTGCGGGCCCTTTGCCAGGGTAGATTTCGCCGATCGACGAACTCCCGAGGAATTCGTCACGGTGAAATCACGACGTGCCAAGGTGCCAATGTTTTAACTTCTTTTTGTGACTTCGTGCTTACGCGTTTCCATATTAAGAAAAAGTAGCATTTGTTATTCACAAGTTAAATAAACACAAGCTATAAATAATTCTAAATACAGATACAAATAATTTAATTAAATAAGGCTATAATCGATTTTAACAATAATCTACGAAAAGGAAATATTTTTCAACTCTAATCACTGTTACTATTTTTCTGCATAAGTTTGAAAACTTTTAATAACTTTGATTAATTTCTTGTATCTTCAAGTTTTACATTATATTAAATAAAAATAATTACACATATATAAAAATGTTCTTTACGTTAAACGTATCTTAAACGTACGTAACACAATGTGTGTGCATAAATATTAATTATTTGTAAAGCTATCAAATGGCGTCAATGAGTCTGTTTGAACACATCATATACGACGCGAAAAGGAAGGTTTTGTGGAACATACGGAGAACGTTATTTTGGGATTAGAGTACTACTGCGGTGAGTCACAAATTCAAAGCTCTCGTTCCAAACGAGTTTCCCTTTCTTTACACTTATAGAGGTCGACAACAAATGGTAATTTAATCATTTTGTTATATGTACGTAATAAGAAAAGAGGAATTAATAATGCGTTCTGCAAAATAATATAAATAATTGATCTATGTATCTATTTATAAATAATTGTTAATTAATCTTATAAAACAACACTTTCACTGGGAAAAACAAATCTGTTTAAACTAGAGTTTATGATTTAGATATTTTATACAAATAACGAACTTACTTTGTGTAGTATTTTTTATCTTTAGAATAGGAGATTCCAATGAAGGGTCAGAATTAGGCAATTCCCAAGCATTCTACAAATATAAACACAAGAATTTGTCCATATTAGGAATATAAATATAAAAATATATAATAACAATTTTTTTAAATATCTATCTTTTCAAATGTAAATTAAAAATTTAACAAAATCATTTAAATATATTTAAGTAATTATTGTTACTATAATTACTAAATGAAAAATACTAACCGGATCACACTCAACATAAAGTTGTGGAAAATCTTTAAGTTGGAATTTTTTATTGGATGTATTGATTGTTGAAATATTACTTTTAGAAGGTTGATCCCTGAAATCGCAGAAGGGATTCGATGAACTGTTGTTTCCATTAAAAATTTCCGATTTTTCTTTGGAAACAGGTGCATTAACTTTAATAGTACCATTGAAAGCATATCCATTTATTTCAGAATCCATGGTATCAGTCACGTCCAAAGTACCATCTTTAGAAACATGGTTCTCATTAACTTCCTCTGATTCAACACCTATAATATCATGAATGATATGTGGAAATATCTCAGTTTTAATTTTTATTTGTTATTAGTAAATATTAGTCATTTGTATTCTCAATTTAAAATCACTTTTTTAAAAGTTTATAATTTTAAATCATGTATTTGACATTTTTATAAATAATATAGATAATACACGAACTTTGAGAATATTCCACTGGTTCCAATTGTCCACTAAAGAATTGTGACAAAGTCGTCATTATTTCTACAACTTCATCCATTGATGGTCTTTCTTCAGGAGATTTGTGCCAACATCTGAAACAATAGTCCATTTCTTTTTTTTACTACTTAGAAGCAATCCACAAGCATGTATTTAAAAAAATGAAAAAATTACTGAAATAAAACATATTCAAAATATAAGAAAACCTGCTGGCCAAAATTATATATATCAAATAATTTATCAGAGTGGTAGTAGACACAAAAAATATAGATCTTTTTGTAACTATGCCCTAAACAGACCCTTCTACTTTGAATAAATTCACAGTTAAGAATATTACTTGCTGAGATTCAATTTTATTGAAAAAGTTAATTTCAAATCCATTGATTATATCTTTATGGATAATGTACCAGAAGATGTAGGTACATAAAATACTAAAAATCTTCCTTTAATACATCTTTTTATACTAAATCCTATTTCCTATGGCCTATCATCAATAGAACAAAAGTTAAAATATAATAATTTTAATCACCTTCTTCTCAGTTATTCAATCATTCAATAATTCACAGCTACTATAAATTTGAACATTTTACTCAATATTTTCCATCCTACTTCCTAAATTCAACTTTCCCTTCCACAATTTACTAACAAAAAAGTTTATGATGCAAGTAACTGGGAGCATTTCTTAAATTTCTTACAAGAAAATCCTCTGAAGTTTCCATAGACAGTGATTTGAGAAAGAAATCATTCCTTCTAATGTTGAATCTTCAAGTGAAAAACGAAAGGGAAAGTAATCTTGCCATCTGGCACAATGGAATCCTTTTAATGGACAAATATCATTGAAGACAATTTCACTTACCACTAAAATTTGCTCCCAGTGCCTAAACATCAAAGGGGATGAAAGAGTGGATTGTTGTCCCAAAGGAGAATCCATAGTTGCTAAAAGACCTCAATTTCTTTAAAGAAAATTTTATGATGAACTATGTGCCTCAATCTTCACCCTCACCTAGGATAAAACCTAAAATTCATAAGAAGAAATTTAGAAAAGCCCTAATTAGAGGTGCAGAACAATCTCAGAGTGGAGAATTATGAAACTATTAAAGTTACCCTAGCGCCAAGTCGATCAACCACCATCTTTGACATTCCTCCACTATTCTAAAATACCAATATTTTGAACTATCAATCCAATATTCATAACTTCCAAACACTTCTATATTTCCACATTATACTTCAATTAAGTTCCCACTGACTATTCTATGATTTATCATTCCCTATTTTTCATAGTCTTAAGCATAATAACTAAAAGAATTAGAATGACTAACCAACCACTTATTAGAATATGTCAGGAATACTAATAATGTATTCAATATTCATGAATTTACATTAGTTTTATCTGTTTGATATTAAACACTTAAATATAAATTTATTTTCTCAATTCATGTAACAAAACACGTGATTAAAAAATAAAGAATTTTCAAAAAAGTTTATTATTTACTTAATTTGTGCATCATGATCTTGTTAAGAACACTGATTATTTAATAAGAAGTGTAGTAAGTATTACAAATAATTGCATTAAACACTTTTGAAAAAAATGATTTTCTTTAAAGAATAAGTGCAAAAGCTAAACATTTAGGAACACTATATATAAGAACTTGAATTTCAACCTACAAGGATAATAGTTTTCCTTATGTTATGAATTCTATTATATTATCAACTTTTTAATAAAGAATGTTTTAAACATATAACATTTGTGCTAGTAAAAGGGAATATTTATTCTGTAAAAACTTAACAAAATATTTGAATACATGTAGAACAATTGCAAATCAAAAATGATTTGGGCACAGCATATAAAACACTTTCAAAAGACATTATATGCAAATAAAATGTAAGTAATATAAAATGAACATAAAATTACTAATGAAATTCTAAATAACAATAGCATACATAAATTTTTATATGCCTGAAAAGTAATTTCTCTATGAACATACTAGTGTTATTAAATAAAACGACAATTTTTTTAATTAAATATTTAAAATTGATATCTACAAAAATGTTTTCTAGACATTAAAAAAATATTATTTTCAACAACAGTATACTAGAAACCAGAATATATTAAATCTAAATATTAAAAATCAATTAATGTTTAAAATACTTATTCTATTGGTTTTTAAATAATGACAAATAAGATAAATAAGTGCAAATTCTAGACAAATTTATGCTGTAAAAGATTAAATTTAAAAAGGTATAGTTTTACATCTTGGTAATATACAGTTAATTGCAAAAAGTTATGCTAAATTTATTATAGCTTTCTCTATAAGATAAACTTAAAAGATTTAATATTTTTTACTGATTACAATTATTTCTATTATACAATTAGTTATTAGTTATTAGTAATTAGTTTTATATTATAATGGAAAAAAATTTTGATTTTATAAAACGAAAAAGTCATTAATCTTATTTTCTTTTAGATAAACTATTAGAACATGCTTTATTAATCATAAAAGTGGGAGTAAATCTAATCATAAATATTAATAAATACCTGGTCATAAGATCTTCAATTGGTTTTGGACAACCTTCAATCAAAGGAGGTCTTTGGCCTACATGTACTGCCCACATTATTCTATAAGCTGAACCACCAATTTCATCAAATGGTTTCTTCCTTGATAATATCTCCCACAAAATAACACCCCAACTAAACACATCACACTTTTCTGTATATCTAGAACCCTCAAATACTTCTGGAGCCATCCAAGCAGCAGAACCTTTATTATTAGTCATGTAGGTATTCAAATCACACGCTGTACCAAAATCACAAATTTTAAGAGTTTGTCCACCCATTACCAACAACAAATTTGGTGGTTTCAAGTCTCTATAAACATAAATAGAATTTATTTAATATCACACACATTATTTGGATGAAATACAAATTCTCAATTATATTATTGTATTTTCAATGAAAGAATATTACATATAAGAAATTTAATTTGTTATCTTACCTGTGGATTAAAGGTTTTGGTTTCATATTATGAAGATATGCTACACCACGTGCACATTGTAAAGCCCAACTCATTGCATGACCTGCAGTATATTGTGGTTGAGGATTACAATGTAAAACTGTAACATACCAACAAAACAAACTAAATAATATTATTACTTATAATATAATGATTATTATTGCTACTCAAAGACATCAAAATAATACAAAAAAACAAAAAAAAATTTTATAATATATTAAACAAATGAAATCATACGCATCATTAAAACAGAATAAAGATAAAAAGATAATAATATGAAATAATAATTAAAAAAAATAAAATGTTTGAAAAATAAAAATAAAGAAGTTAATACCATTATATAGGGAGCCACCTTCTGCATATTCCATAACCAGACAAACTGGATTTCTAGTACAAGCACCATAAAGTTTTACAATGTTGGGATGCACAACTCTAGATAATTGTCTGACTTCTACAGTAAAGGCTTTTTTTTCACCTTCTGAATTTATATATTTTATAGCAACATATTGTCCTCTCCATTTTCCTTTCCATACTACTCCAAAAGAACCTTTTCCCACTACCTGCATAAAGATAAATAACAAATAACTTATTAATGATTTACTTTAGTAATTCTTAAATTTAAAAATACATTTTTTTCCTTTTTCTATTAAACTAGCAGATAAAAAATATTACCCACATTAAAGTAACAACTGTATATAACCTTAAAAAAATTAAAAAAATATAAAATTTAAAAAATTTAATGTTTTAATTATTTTTTTTTAAATACTCTTCATCTTACTAAATAATTTTATTAATTTCATGTAATTTACGTCAAATTTTAAAGATATGACATATATTTACAATTTACTTAAATGGGAACATATTCTAATTTTTTTCTCAAATTAATGATATTTTAAACAAAAACACCATACAAATAAAAATTTTAATATCAAAGTATAAAATCTCAAAAGTGAACTTCGTCAACATCAACAGTTTGCTTAAAAAATATTCGGATTATTATTTAGGTTATGTTTCAAACAAAATCAGATGAATAAATAATGATAAATTATAGAAAATGAATGCAGTTAAATATAATGAATTCTCTAAAAATATTTTATTCAACAATAAATGAAAACAGAAATTTAATTTCTTCAAATAACCAGAAGAATTACTGAATAATTATGATACCTGCTCGGTTTCAATTTCATCATAGTTAATTTCTTCAACAAACTGCTGTTGATGGCTTATTAACTCTTTACCCGCCATCACACACAGTCGACATCACATTAGTTTCAGGGCACATTTAATTCCCGAACGTATGAATATTTATTTAAATTTTGAGCTCAAGCTCCTTCAATATTTTCCATTTTATTAACATTCAGAAGACATGTGTAGCGAGAACATCGTATCGATAAATGTTCATGAATCGATATATCGATTTATAAAATTATCCATCGTTAAACGTAAAAAATACAATTAAATTTATATAAATAAAAATAGAAATATGAAATTATTTTGTTGAAATTAATCAAAACATTCATCTATGCAAAAGTATAAAAAGAAGGTATAAGGGTAAGTTTGTATAAACAAATGGATACCACATAAAAACATCTACTAAGTTTATTTGGGTAATCGATCTTTTTGTCAAATAAAATATTATGCAATCACAAACTTCTTTTCGATATTACATACACTACATTCTAACTCATAAATTTATTGAGATTAAGTTACAAAATATTATAAAATACAAAAATTTAGATAAAAAGGACTTATCGACCCATTTTTATTTTGTATATAATTTAATTCGTAATTTTCATGTTATGATTCTTAAAGTGGAAAGTATTAAAATGTTCATACATTTATTACATGTAATATAAATGAAAACTCACTGAATATCAAACTATATTTTCATACTTTTTATCTTTTTAATGTTCTCCTGATAATATTAAATAAAAAATAAGTAACTTTACATATCTCAAAACTATAGTGTTTATCATTATTATAATTGAAACGTTTTATTTCAATATTTCATTCTATTGCTTAAATGCAATTTATTTAAAATTATAAAAAATTAAACAATTTTTCAATACGCTATTCTATGTATAAAATAATATTATTACTAATAGTAATAATAACGTTATATAATATTAATATAGTAATGATATTATTATAACGAGCAAAGTAAAACAAGATTATTAAAACACATGTAGAATTATTTTTTCTTGTCTTAATGGGCGAATCAGATTTCAAATTTGGTATATTCTCATCTAAAATTGCTTATACTTATGTATATATTACTTACGTGTATATTATACTTATGTGTATATTATTAATTTCATTAACAACTTATTAAAACTTATAAAAAAAAATAGATCTTAATGTTTCAATAGTCTGTTCAAAAACGACAAAGTACTACAAAGTACTATATAATATATTCGACCCTGTATAAGATTTTACGCAACATGGCACCAATCACAACTTGTGATTTTTTTATTTAAACTCAAAATTATTAAGGTAGTAAATTATCATCATCTGTAAATAACATAGACCAACTATCTCTAATTTGAGGAAGAACGTTGAAAAGAAAATTTGACTTTATAAAGGTTCGTCATGTTTTATAATTATCGACTGTGAATCAACTCTTTTCAAAATGGCAGAAAATCTTTCGAAACGGCCTCCCAAGGGGATTTTGAAATCATCTAGCAGTTTTGATAATCCAGATGTACCCAGGTAAATGATTTCTCACATCTAAATTTATTTTATGTTAGAATTATCATTTAATTTCTATATATGCGAACAATTTAAAAGTATAGGTTACATTTTTATTGCTATAACATTACACGATGACGGTAGACTAAATTTGTATTTTAAGGTTAGGTAAATTAAAATAATTTTTATTTATACTTTTAGTTTATTAAAGCTGTCATAATTATACACTGAATGTTGTTTATCTATTTGTTCACTTTCATTTCAAATTATTACAGTATTATAAATAAATAAATTTGATACATAGAAAATCTTGATTATAATTTATGTATTACATGATATAATAAAATTTATTTCTTTTCACTACAATTTTACAATATTATAATCATTTTGAAAATTAAATTCACAAATCATAAGTTTCAATAAATTCTACTATAATATTAGTAGTACTTTATATTAATTACATATTATTTATTTTTTAATTTAAATGTGTAATTATTAAGAATAAGTATTTAATATGTTATTACAATTTTTATTACAGACCAAGCAAAGAGACAAAATGGGATGAAATGAATATAATTGCAACATTACATCCACCAGAAAAAGATTATGGTCACATGAAGATTGATGAACCAAAAACCCCATACAACTATGAAGGCCTGCATGGTGAATTTGACTTTGATACATTAGATTCAACTGCAGTTGTTGCCAAGTAAGTGTTTATATTAATTCATTAGAAAGAAATATTTTATTTAAAATTTTTGATTTCTCATAAATAATTTTTATGTTATTACATAATAAAATTAGTTGTTATGTATTAATAGTAAAAAAAAAAAAAAAAAAA